CCAATGGGTACTATCGAGATAAAAAGCGAGGAATGTTATAATAACTTTAACAGTTAATTCGTTTTGCTCTCATGGTCTCTAGTTTTACCTTCTATTTCGTATTCTTATTGATAAATTATGGCATACTCAGATGAAAAGAATGTTACATAGTGTAGTATCTTTGAAACTGAATAAGGAAAATCATGGGGGAATCGAACATTTCGCGAGATTTTCAGCCTTTCGTAATTTACAAAGGGAATTTAAAGTTACACTTTTTTCGGGTAAAATTTCAAAGGCTATTCATGCGTTGATCATGTTGGAAGAAGAGTTCACTTGCGTTATTGTAAAATAGGGATTTAGAAGAAAAGCTGGTTCCCCCAATGAAAATTACGAAAAACGGAGTTACTGCGATCAAAGAGAGTGCTCTTCCCTATTGACTCTAAAAAACCGACCTCGCAATGTTATTTTTTAACAGCTCCCTCAAAACATCATTATGCATTTACACTTTCCGCAGAGACTGGAAATTGAAAAATCCTTTGTTTTTCACTCTCAGCCTACGAAAACCATAAATGCTTATGGCAGACTCAATCTAATCATATATAGTATCACAAATATCTGAAAACTGACTATCAAATAACGAGTGAAATCTTATTTCTCGCCAGTTGTAAAGAATGAAAGCATTTTCGGAGCAAGTGTTACTGAGCCTCCTCTATTTGTTGGTTGCCTCGCAATCCATTCCAATACATCAGGACACTCGTAAAATTAACTACGCCATCTTGTTCGACGCAGGATCCAGCGGTACTCGCATGGAAATCTATAAATTCCTTGCCAGCGGTCCTTCCCTCCAACCTTCTGACGTTGTTCAGATGGATGCCTCACCACACAAAGTGAAACCTGGAATTTCAGACTTTGCTGATGACCCGACGCAAGTTGAAGCTTACATAAAGCCCTTACTTGAATCTGCTAAGAAAACCATTCCACAGGACAAACAAGCATCCACTCCGATATTTTTGTTAGCAACAGCAGGCATGAGACTCTTGCCTGAAGGTCAGGCTACCGCTATTTTAGATGAGGTTAGAAAACTGTTTCATGATAGAGAAAAATGCCCTTTCCTGTTTAAGAACGACAATGATGTTAGAATCATTAATGGCCAGGTCGAAGGAATTTATGGTTGGGCTACTGTAAATTTCCTTTTAGGTGTTTTTGCTTCAAAAGATTCCGAGTCGTATGGTAGTTTGGATCTAGGGGGAGCGTCCCATCAAAATTCCATGGACTTTGACAAAAGTAGCCCAGAAGTTCTTGTTTTCGACATAGCTGGGAAAACATATAGTATTTTTAGCCGTAGTTATCTGGGCTACGGACAAGACCAGGCTCGGGAAAAATATCTAGGATACATCGCTAAAAAAGCGAATTGCGCAAAGAATTCTGAATGTGTCGTGCAAAGTCCCTGTCACAATAATGGTTTTAAGGAATCTCTTCAATATGGAAATGAAGAAAATATATTTCAAGGAACTGCACGAGTTAAGAATTGTAGGAAAGTCATTCATGAGTTGTTTTTCGGCGAATCGTCCCCCTTTAACGACCAACCCAAGTTGAAAGGAAAATTTTACGCGTTTTCGGCTTTTTATTATGTTTTAACAGATATAGACGCTGTTTGTTCTAATTGCGAAAAAAACACAGTAAGTCCTGGTAAAATAAGGCGGTCCTCGTATTCATACTGTAAGAAAGACTACAGTGAGATTAGTGAAGACCCATATGCTAAAAATGACTGCTTTGGGGGAAATTATATATACGAGCTTTTGACTAAAGGATATGGTCTTGGTCGATCAAAGAAAATCACTGTTGCTAATTCGCTGAATGGCTTCAGTTTAGGCTGGACCTTAGGTGGAGTTTTGCATAACACGGGCATCTTGAACGAGTAATTCTGTAATTTCCGTTCACTGAATCGTATCCAAATGATTAAATAGAAATAAAGCATATGTGAACGACGCTGCTGTCAAGTTGATAACCTTAATTTTTTGCTCTCTTTACAGTTATTTTTTTTTTATTTAAGAAAAGATTATCATACGAAACATATTTCTACTTATGCGCGACTGTACAGGTTCAGTTCACAAACAGGTTATATCAGTAGCGGAAAGTTTTAGACTACGACCTGTTCCTTTGTCCAGTTTAATCAACCAACCACCAATGTATATTTATTATTAGTATATACACACTCAATGATCTTGGCGTTTCAAGCAATCTGATTGGTTCTCTATCGCGGGCTATTCAACATTATAAATGAATAAAAGCTGATAGTTTCGAAAGAAACTGTTTGGGGCTGCGTCGGTGGGAGTAACGAAATAATTTGGATATATCAACAAAGTTGAAATGGTAAATTGGCCACCGTAATGATTACAAAAGCTGACGTTTCGAGCGTTAGCCCTTCGTCGGAGCGAATAGAGGAATTGTGGGTTGTGTGTGCTTTTAAAGGCAGAAAATGGAGCTACGTTATTGGTGGGTGCATGGCAACGAGAAAAACATGAATAAATTAGTGGAATGAAAAGCGTTCATTGATCCCTGTGGGATTTAGACTGCCG